TTGTGGGCAGTCCATTTCACCATTGGAAGGAATTCTTACTCTTCTTTTCTCTTACTCTTCCTTGTGGTTCCTGAGCTTCAGATGCTTTAGCAGCTCCTCTAGGCAAGCAAAACACGTGCCTTCTTGGGGCTTTTTTATATGATCTTGAAAAAGCTAAGTAGAATGGGACCATTTCTTTGGATGGGAGCCACCAAGAAACCCCATTCTAAGTATTAAAAACAATTGCATTCCAAACACACATGATGCAAAAGAGTCACAAGAAGCTTCATAGGGGTGTGTCCCTAGTCATTCAGCTTAGGAGCTTGGATGGGGATGTTACACAGAACAGTAGATATTGGCCTGTGTAACATCTCTGCAATCTTTTGGGTATGAGCTAATAGTTCTGTTATTAAAATATGTACAGCCAGTCTTTCTGCTTTCTCCCTTGAATGTGTAAGGCAACTGACATCATAAACATTATTAAACCAATATTGAAAAAAAGAATAGCATGGAAGACAAGACAAATAAAATAACAAAAATCAAAGACGTCAAAAGGGTAATTCATAAAGGTAGTTGGCTTGATGGAATAAGAAAATTTTCAGATGGTGGTTAAATGAAGAGGAAACCAGCTGGATCTGAGATTTTCAAAGGCTGTTCCAAAACACTCATGCTCTCACAACACATTGAATCATAAACTAACTAAGCACATTTTACAATAACATGCTGTGCAAACCCAGACTGTATGCTAGTTTATAGTTCAATTTGTCATGCAAATCTAGAAAATTGGATGGAGTAAACCAGGATTACAATACATTAATCATGAGTGTATTGTGCAAATCCATCTAGGGTGTGACAGCAGTACACATTTTATGTAATTAAGGTATTATATCTATGGACCACAGCCAGGTCCATCTATCAAAAAACAGCCAAAGATATGCAAAACACTCCCCATTGCACCCATCATTTAAGCGTCTAGGAACAAGTCAAAGATTTTACAAAATGAGTCCTGAAAGAAGAACACAGAACACCCTGGCCCAAAACTGATTGAATACCTGTCCCCAGAACAAGGCCCCTTTGAACCAAGAGCACTTTGATCTGACCTGAAGTAGTAAAGAACTGGTATGTTATATATGTGTGTGGTGGTGGGGGCGTTAGAGTAAAACATAACTCAGAGTATTCATATTTTGGATGTCATGGAATGAGTATGGTCTCTTAATGTCTAAGTGATGTCATTATATAGAACTATATTAAGAGAAGAATATGTCAGAATAGGTTAGCTATATATCAATTTATATGTTAATCATGCTAACCAATGGGCCATCCTTCAGTGCATTAATGCACTGTCTCTATTGTCACTAGTATGTAATGCCAATCATTATACAGTGTTATGGTATAGTGATCGTGTATACTTTTATGCCATATATTTGCATGAAAATATGGATGGGCATTGTATGAAAGTGGAGTACATGAGACTCACTTAAAGTAAACCATAAAGAGGGTTTGCTCAGGAAGATGTCAGGTTACATGGCTCATGACAACTGTTAGAACAAAAAGTTCAAAGAAAACACAACAAGATATGGTTCTCCAATGAAATATACTTCCCAAAACAACAAATAGTTTCCATGTGAAGTGGTAGAGGCAATGGCACTCTAGTGGAAAAGTATGAGAAGGTATGAGAAAAGAGTCAAGGTAAAACTGGCCAAACTTTGATTAAGTTTGATTAAGCCTTGCTGAATGTTATAAAAATGTATGGGAACCACAGAGAATGGCACATCAGGTGTCCCACCATGATTTTTCTGAAACTCAACCCTTGACAAGCAGACTTTGAACTGGGTACCTACCTACCTGGGTACCATCATACCTATGCATGAGAGTTTGCATGTAGCTTTCAATTCAGAAAGTGAAGAAGAAAAGTGGTAAAACCTGCATTTGTTTTTATGTGACCTGAATCTGGTAAAAAGGAACAGTAAGTAGCAGTGGAGGTGTAATAAAGACCCCATATGACCCTTAATTGGGCAGTAGGTCCAAATGAAGACTTAGTTACATAATGCCCATTTACCAGAAGGCAAACTGGTGAGGGTCACACCCACCACCTTTTCAAGGATTTCATGGTCACCCATTAAGAATAAATGTGTGGAGATTCAAGATGAATAAAAGGAAATACTGTACTATGTACCCAACACATTGTTAAACAAGTGAATTTGTCATCAGATGCACACGATGGTCATCGCTAGAGGGTTTTAAATGGGGAGGAGATAAAGTAATGCTATCAACGCTGAGTGAGGTTAGGGTCTGGCATTTTGCTAAGCTATGCAGCATTCCAGCTTCCCCCACCATGTTGCCTATCCCTACATTATCATGTATGGATTATTTGACACTTTGTTTTATATTTTTTGCTCTTTTTTGCGGTTCTGTCCACTTGTTTTTGCTACAGAATTAAAATGGGGCAGAGAGGAAGCATATTAGAAGGGGGTTGGGATGGAACCACTACTGTCAAAATAAACAAGAAAACCTTCCAGAATTGGGGAGATCCAGAAAAGATTTCCAGCCTGGATAAAGCTGATTAGAAGCCAACTTTAACTTTCTTATCTGCCTTCGCTTAAAGGCAGAAGTAATATTCTGCTTCAATGGAAGCGAATATGTGTGACTCCACAATTCTGCTTCAAGCTGTAGGCTGACCATCTCTGTCCTAAAAACAGGCATGATCTAATTTGAGGGTGTGTGTGTAGGTGTGTACATGCCTTTGAGTCAGTGCTGATGTTTGTCACTGCCTGGACAAGTCCCTGCAGTTTTCTTGGCAAGATTTCAGAAGTGGTTTGCCATTGTCTGCTTCCTCGGGCTGAGAGAGAGGGACTGGCCCAAGGTCACCCAGCTGGCTTTGTGCCTAAGGTGGGACTAGAACTCATGTCTCCCAGTTTCTAGCCTTAACCACTATACCAAACTGGCCCCTAAATGAATGTGTAAATATGAAGGATGACTATAATTTAGACATGGCTGCTTTCTTCCTGTCCTTCAGAGTTAGTTGTCTCAATAAAACCTATAATCTTCCCTTGATCTTTTCTGTATATCTTGATTCTCAAGCCCTCAATAATGTTCCCTTGCTCAAGTTCGTTGATACACAAGCAAGATGCAACTCAAAATCAGACCGAACTAGAGTGCCATTTCTCTTTCCCTCTGAGATATTGACTTTTTGAAGTGCCATAGAGAGTACCACCCTCTTGATGCATTTAATGTTTAGATTATTGTTCACTATAACTTTGTTTTTCCTCAAGGCTAGCCAGTTTCCCAACATTTTGTGATGATCCATTTTTGTTCCCAATACTGATACAGACATACTTAAAGTTCCAGTTATTTTCTATATCTCAGTGAAGAGATTTTGAATTTGATGCAGTCAAAAATATTATTAAATTTAAATTTCTCCATCATTTGTATGATGTTGGAGAGAAGTATTTCCTCCATTTTTGCCCTCAAGACTTTTATGGAGATGAGTGTTATGGAGCAGTTTCTTATGTTACCACCTAGAACAATGCTGATTCACAAATTGCAATACTTTGGGGTGTGGCTAACAATAAAATGTGCATCCGCCTGATGATATTTCTTGGTTACGTACATTTTCCCATGTATTAATGCCACTAATACATGGGAAAATTCTGGAAGTTGAAGTCCACATACCTTAAAGTTGCTAAGGTTGAGAAACACTGTGTTATACTGTTTTCCTGTTGATCAGATGGATCCGGATACATTAGTTTGATGCCCCACCTATAGTACATAACAACTGTCACACACTAATAGCATTGACACAGCGTATGGTCCCAGACATCATAACAAATGTGGAGTTTTGCTATTCAGATCCTAGCCATCACAGCCTGGATCACAGCCAAACTGCATATACCTTAAATAGGAATAATCTATCCCTAAACATATCCCAGAAAACTGACCCTGGATTTATCTGATAGCTTAACTTCTATATAACACGGGGGAGGGGGGTGTTATTGGCAACATTATTAAAGTTCTAACCACAGTGGTACATCTGTGGCTGCTGTCTGACATTGCACAGATCAAATGATGACAAACTTGGTCTTTGGAGTCTCTGTTTCCCTGTCTGATCTCCTCCATAGGAGTGTTACAAGAAACAATGGGAAGGCATTCTGATCTGAAAGCCTTAAAATCTTCTCAGGACTTTCTGTGGGTAATCCTCCTAAGGCAGTGTTGTCCAAACTTGGCCACTTTAAGATGAGTGGACTTCAACACCCAGAATTCCCCAGCCACCCATGCTGGCTGGGGAATTCTGGGC